TAGACTGTTCAGTCAGATCAAATTCCTCTTTTGCAAGGTCTTGTTGCCTTTACATTCCAGAGTTGGCTTTAGCAGGAAAAGTTAGTGAAACTATTTTCCCTGTGATGAGTGACTTTGTCTGTTGCTCAGCGGGCCATTGCAGTTTTGTGTCACGCATATTATTTGGGTTTGATAGCCAGTTGGTTATGGACTGGGTATCAGTTACATTAAATGGCCTTCATACCTTTGTATGTACATGGTAACTACAGTGTAACTACAGTTTGGGTAGACATTAAATCTACTGTCAAGAAAAGGAAACCAGCACACACTACCACTGCAGCCGCTGGGCCTGTAAAAGGAACCCCAGACTTAAAATGATCCAAAACAGCACACTGTCCCCTGGGTCTGGGAGTGCTTTCTCCATCCAGACACACATGTGGATGGATGAAGAGCCTGCTCTAGGCCACGGGGCAAGGATAGGGCACTGCAAGACTGGATTACCGCTGGACACTAATGTCCTGTGTCTCACAGCATAGCGTTTCTTAATCACATTAACCAAATGCCTTCTGCTGTGTGTGTGTGTGTGTGTGTGTGTGTGTGTGTGTGTCATGGTTAGCTGAACACCCACTCCTCCTCTAAATGTGAAATATTCATGTTGAAAGCCACGCATCCCCCCGTCCCTCTCTCTCTTCCTCTTGCACGCTAATGTACAGAAGTGTTCAGCCATGATTGTTGCGGGATAATTGTTACTTCCTAATTAAAGTTTCCTGATTCAAATCCTCCTCAAAGCTATATGTTCACGTCCACGCCAGTTCTGGAGAGATCAGTGATGTCTGGGGTTGTAGTGTAATGAATTCAATTTCAAAATATGGTTTTTAACTCAACTTATTGAAATTTAATTGAATTAGATTGATGGATTATATTGTTACGACATATACATGCACTTAACAAACATATTATAGACTAACACAGTATAAGGCTGGACTGTATTATGGTATTCTATTTTGTTCTTTTGTTTTTGTCTCCAAAGTGGAGAGGGAGAGGAGGGAGGGAGGGGGGAGGGAGGGAGGGAGGGGGGGAGGGAGGGGGGAGGGAGGGAGGGAGAGCAAGAGAGAGAGAGAGAGAGAGAGAGAGAGAGAGGGGGAGATGGAGGGAGAGAGAGAGAGAGAGAGAGGGAGAGAGAGAGAGTGAGAGTGAGGGGGAGATGGAGGGAGGGAGGGAGGGAGGGAGGGAGGGAGGGAGGGAGGGAGGGAGGGAGGGAGGGAGGGAGGGAGGGAGGGAGGGAGGGAGAGAGCGAGCCCTAACACTGAATCTCAGTAAGACAAAAATAATGGAGTTCCAAAAAAGGTCCAGTAGCCAGGACAACAAATACAAATTATATCTAGACAGCGTTGCCCTAGAGCACACAAAGAATTATACCTACCTCGGCCTAAACATCCCAATTAGGATCTGGCTAAAAATACTTAAATCAGTTATAGAACCCATTGCCCTCTATGGTTGTGAGGTCTGGGCTCCACTCACCAACCAAGAATTCACAAAATGGGACCAACACCCAATTGAGACTCTGCCTGCAGAATTCTGCAAAAATATACTTTGTGTACCCCCTCCTGTACTCCCTGTTCATCCATGACTGTGTGGCCATGCACGCCTCCAACTCAATCATAAAGTTTGCAGACGACACAACAGTAGTAGGCCTGATTACCAACAATGATGAGACAGCCTACAGGGAGGAGGTGAGGGCCCTGGGAGAGTGGTGCCAGGAAAATAACCTCTCACTCAATGTCAACAAAACAAAGGAGCTGATCGTGGACTTCAGGAAACAGCAGAGGGAGCACGCCCCTATCCACATCGACGGGACCGCAGTGGAGAAGGTGGAAAGCTTCAAGTTCCTCTGCGTACACATCACAGACGACCTGAAATAGTCCACCCACACAGACAGTGTGGTGAAGGCTCAACAGCTCCTCTTCAACCTCAGGAGGCTGAAGAAATTTGGCTTGCCCCCTAAAACCCTCACAAACATTTACAGATGCACAATTGAGAGCATCCTGTCGGGCTGTATCTCCGCCTGGTACGGCAACTGCACCGCCCACAACCGCAGTGCTCTCCAGAGGGTGGTGCGGTCTGCCCAGCGCATCACCGGTGGCAAACTACCTGCCCTCCAGGACACCTACAGCACCCGATGTCACAGGAAGTCCAAAAAGATCATCAAGGACATCAACCATCCGAGCCACGGCCTGTTCACCCCGCTATCATCCAGAAGGCGAGGTCAGTACAGGTGCATCAAAGCTGGGACCGAGAGACTGAAAAACAGCTTCTATCTCAAGACCATCGGTTATGTAACCCTGCACCTTAGAGGCTGCTGCCCTATATACATAGACATGGAATCAATGGCCACTTTAATAATGGAACACTAGTCACTTTTATAATGTTTACATACTGCTTTACTCATCTCATATGTATATACTGTATTCTATTCTACTGTATTTTAGTCACTGCCACCACGACATTGCTCGATCTAATATTTATATATTTCTTAATTCCATTATTTTACTTTTAGATTTGTGTGTATTGTTGTGAATAGATACTACTGCACTGTTGGAGCTAGGAACACAAGCATTTCGCTACACCCGCAATAACATCTGCTAAATATGTGTATGTGACCAATACATTTTGATTTGATTTGATTTGACAATGTATGCAGAGCAGAATTAGGACTATACCCGCTAGATATCAAAATCCAGAAAATAGTTGTTTAATTCTACAACCACCTAAAAGGAAGATGCACACACATTCCACCACAAAGCCCTCAGAGAGATTAACCTACATTTTTTACATTTGACATTTTAGTCATTTAGCAGACGCTCTTATCCAGAGCGACTTACAGTTAGTGAGTGCATATTTTATATACTGGTCCCCCGTGGGAATCGAACCCACAACCCTGGCGTTGCAAACGCCATGCTCTACCAACTGAGCTACATCCCTGCCGGCCATTCCCTCCCCTACACGACGCTGGGCCAATTGTGTGCCGCCCCATGGGTCGCCCGGTCGCGGCCGGCTACGACAGAGCCTGGATTCGAACCAGGATCTCTAGTGGCACAGCTAGCACTGCGATGCAGTACCTTAGACCACTGCGCCACTCGGGTCTGCAAACCTAGAGAAGAGTCACCTCAGCCAGCTGGTTCTGGGGCTCTGTTCACAAACACAGACTCCACAGAGCCCCAGGACAGCAACACAATTAGACCCAACCAAATTATAAGAAAGAAAAAAGAGAACTATTTGACACACTGGAAAGAATTAACCAAAAAACAGAGCAAATTGGAATACTATCTGGCCCTAAACAGAGTACACAGTGGCAGAATACCTGAACACTGTGACTGACCCAAAATTAACAACATTCTTGACTATGTACAGACTCAGTGAGCATAGCCTTGCTATTGAGAGAGGCCGCCATAGCCAGACCTGGCTCTTGAGAAAAGACAGGCTATGTGCACACTGCCCACCAAATGAGGTGGAAACTGAGCTGCACTTCCTATCCTCCTGCTAAATGTATGACCACATTAGAGATACATATTTCCTACAGATCACACAGACCCACAAATAATTTTAAAACAAATCAAACATAGATAAATTCCCATATCTGTTAGGCGAAAAACTGCAGTGTGCAATCACAGCAGCAAGATCTGTGGCCCGTTGCCATGAGAAAAGGGTAACCAGTGGAGCACAAACAACATTACAAATACCACCTATATTTCTCTGTTTAGTTATCTTCCCCTACTATTCGTACTACTACTATTTGCACATTGCTAAAACACTGTACATAGATGATAATATAACACTTGAGATGTTTTGTGTCTTTTGTTTATTGTTTATTTCACTTGCTTTGGCAAAGTAAACACGTTTCCCATGCCAATAAAGCCCCATTTAATTGAAGGGAGAGGGGGAGAGAGAAGGAGAAAGAGAGCGAGAGAGAGAGAGAGAGAGAGAGAGAGGGAGAGGGAGAGAGAGAGCAAAGGAGAGAGAGAGAGAGAGAGAGAGAGAGAGAGAGAGAGAGAGAGAGAGAGAGAGAGAGAGAGAGAGAGAGAGAGAGAGAGAGAGAGGCATCTTTCTGGGAGAAAACACATCTGTGTATCATTATATCTCGCTGCGACACTCTTATTCAAATTGACTGGGCAAGACTAATTTAAATACATGAACTATTCATTAATTAATATAAAGGCCAGTTAGCCCCAGGGCCCTTTTATAATCAAAAACTGGGATATACAGTTTATGCAAAAAAACAAAGTCCATGTGTTGGCTTATTATGCTAATGCTGAATGACAAAATACATGTTCTCCAGCCTACGAATGGAGATTAGGGATGACATTGTCAGCAAGTTGTTTCCAGGGTACACAGACTCTCCTATTGCACATTACAACATATTGAAATACAAAACGTATGAGAGAAAAAAATGTATGCTCTCACTACTGTAAATGGCTCTGGATACGAGTGTCTGCTAAATGACTGAAATGTAAATGTAAATAGTAATAATTTGACGCTATTTGTCCTGTCTATGTCTCATTGCCGGTCATCATAATAACCATGAGTTGTTTTAATGCTGTCTTCAGGTAAAGACTGGGGGCCCTACACGTGTAACATATGATGGGTATGGTACTCTGCTTTGTGGACTTCTGCTGTTTGTGCATTTCTTATGTTAAAACAGTAGGCTAGTATATTCTGAAGAAAACACACACACAGACAGAGAGAGAGAGCGCATAAACATACCCCTATCAATAAAACAGGACGACAACAAAGTGACTAAGGAGGGGCACAACTATTTTTGGCAGCCCCTAAAAATTGCGTGAGAGTTCTACGGCAGTGTTTACGTGTCATCTTGCAACGTGGCGCCCATAGTCACCTCGTGTTACAGACAGCCAATGGACCAATGACAGGGACACTAACAATGAGTGAGGCTGAACCAGCGCTGAAACCGAATATGTGAATGGTTGTACGTGAAGTAAGACGCAACCTTGCTAGGTTGTGCTCTGTGGTGTCCCGTGGTAACCAGCCGGGCATGTTTGAAACGAAAATACGACCTGGGGCGGGCTGTACTTGTCTGAAGTGACCTGTGTAATGTATCTAAATGTACCTACACTTTACTGCAAGACTTGATGCCGCATTTCGGCAACATTGTTGGGCTCATCAAAGTAAGAAAGTAGCCAGCTTGCGCTGTTGTTTCATTTCGCATCTGCAGAGTTGTAAAAAATTGGCCGCATTTGTAGCAGCGGGCTAATTAGCTCACATAGCTTCACACTCCGAAACAGCTGATCTGTCCTCAAACACCCTACTGATGGACGTGTACAGCTACGTGTGCGTTCTGCTCCTCTGCTTCTGTGTAGTGCTCGGTAAACCAACGCTAAGAAAAGAACGCGTCCACCACGACCCGCTCGAACTGATTAAGCAAGCCAACGAAGACAATCAGAGCTTTCAATTCGACCATGAGGCCTTTCTGGGAAAGGAGGACGCTTCTACTTTCGACCAGTTTACCCCGGAGGAGAGCAAAGACAGGCTTGGGTAAGGTTCCCTTGCAAAGGCTAGAGATCCATGTGATACAATGCAGGGTCAGTCAAGTGCAAAACTAGTTAAGGCTACAGCTTATTTGGTCTCCTCAATTCCATTATTCTCTGACATCGCATCACGTTGGTGTCATTGCATTGCAAAGGTCTATATCTGGACAACAAGTGATGGTGACGCAACCAACCTCTCGTGCGTAATGTAGACTATTGTTACACTTCTCCAAAGTTCTGGGCCTTCTTAGTGGGTCACAATAGTCGCATATTCCTGTTAATGTATTCCGTGTTATCTTGGCTTTAGGTTATTAAAATTTCACAACGCGCCCAAGTGGTCCCTGAAACATTTGCATGCCAGCAGACCCTCATGATATAACGGTGCAATATTATGCCTTTAAATGTAGCGCGAGTGCTATTCGCTCGCACACATTCCCCGTTCATATTATAATTGCAGAGTGTAGTTCTTAATTATGGATAATGCATTAAAGAAGCAAGAGGAGCTTTTGTGGTGTTGAGAGAGTTGGATAAAAGTTGAGAACCACGAACAGAATCGTGTTCGGGGTTTTTATATGTGTGTCTCAACCCGTGGAACATGTCATCTGCACTGTCTCGAGTGTGTTCTTTCATAGAGAGACTTGTCCAGCTCCCTATAGTTATGTTTCATCTTTGCCACTGCTCAAATGTCATGAAGGCTCCATGTTACACACGTTGGCTGAAATGGGCGTAAACTGTGTAGTTGGCGCTTCTCCCTGAGAATTCCCTTTCCTGAATAGCATTGAGTGGGAGGGCCCTCTTAACATCACAACGTGGCAACCAAGATGGATATAAATACGTTTACCCTAGTTGGTGGAAAACTAATTTCCTAAATAGAACACACTCTCAATTTCATTTATGCACATGTTCCTCCCAAAGCAAACATAAAGCAAACGTAACTCAATAGCTTTTTATTCTCTCAACAGTGGCTGACAGTATTTATAAACGGATAGTGTTTTTTTGCTAGAATGACTGCTTACTTATGCCACTGAAGACATCAACTCAAGTCTAGGCTACTTTTTCTCAAAGAAATATATGGACCATTATATTCAACTGCATCTATGTATGGCTATGCATTATAATTCAAGGAAATGAATGATATAGACTATAGTACTGTTTGTGTGCCCCCTGTATCTCACAGTAAGATAGTGAACCGGATAGACGGTGATGGAGATGGCTATGTCACCATCACTGAACTGAAGGCCTGGATCAAGCGGGTGCAGAAGCGTTACGTCTACGAGAACGTGGCCAAGGTGTGGACGGATTACGACCTCAACAAAGACAACAAGATCTCGTGGGACGAGTACAAGCAGGCTACCTATGGCTACTACCTGGGTAAGATATGATATGACCTGCTTATGACATGTTCTGCCAGTGTTATGTAGCTGTTATGACTGAGAATTCAAGCAAAGTTTTATATCTATACGACTAAAGGCTGCCCCCTCACCTCTCACCTCTCTCTCCTCTCTCCTCTCTGTTTGTCCGACCCATGGCCCCTCTGTCCTCTCTGGTTGTCTGACAGCTAACAATATCACACCTTCCATCCAAATTCATTACCTACCTAGTTATTTAAGCCAGCACCTCTACTTCAGTAGTTTGAACACCAACCACTTGTTTCTCTTTCCTCCAAGCTAACCCAGAGGAGTTTGAGGAGGCTAAAGACCAGTTCAGCTTTAAGAAGATGCTGCCCAGGGACCAGAGGAGATTTCAAACAGCTGATCTGGATGGAGACCTGGCGGCCGATAGAGAAGAGTTCACCTCCTTCCTCCATCCAGAGGAGTTTGACCACATGAAGGACATCGTGGTCCTGGTAAGTGTTCCATAGTCCAGGGCTACAAATCTGCACTGAAAGGTCTAGTGTTGGCCTGGATGCCAGCCTGTTTTTGCTCAGTTAGCGGAAGCTCTAACATGGGTTATGGTTGTGTAGTAGTAGATAGGAAAACCAAAACTCCACAGCAGCCTAGAAAACTGATTTGAGAACCTCTGATAACTTGTTATGGTTTAAACGAAACGCCGTAACTCGAGCGTATTTGAGAACCAGGTTTAAAACCTGAGTTATGTGAAGAGTTCAAAGCTGTATTGATAACTCCTCATCATACTCTATAGATGGGTTGGCTGGCTTTCTGAAAATGTTTTCTAATTCTTGGAACAGATGAGAGTTTGTGTGAAATGTGTTTCTGTCTGATGATGTCCCACTAGGAGTGCTCTGCATTCAGATCCCTCTAATGACACTTTACTCAGCCTGGAAATGATGTGTCGATTTTTTGGAACAGGTCTAGTGGGACAAACCGACCCATGCCACTTAAATATAAAACTGACAGCGCCGAACAGTCGCGTGGCAAACATGGGGAAACTAATGCACTAGGCTTCTGTCTTCATAAAAGTTGTAATACCCATTTTACAGAGTTAATTATTGATGGTTCATTTTTCAGAAATGTTTCTGGGTTGCTGCTTGGGCAGTGTTGTTTTCATTGATTGTGGTGATCACACCCTGTGGTTGTAGTCAATATGGGGCAGTCTTTACAAGTAAGAACCAAGCCATGACATTAAGTCACATCCATCTTGTTATTATTGGGTAATATGACATGCCTACTCCCTGACATAGTAGGCCCATAACCCCTATACCACTCTAGTGTTGTAGAGGACATGAACCCCTATACCACTCTAGTGTTGTAGAGGACATGAACCCCTATACCACTCTAGTGTTGTAGAGGACATGAACCCCTATACCACTCTAGTGTTGTGGAGGACATGAACCCCTATACCACTCTAGTGTTGTAGAGGACATGAACCCCTATACCACTCTAGTGTTGTAGAGGACATGAACCCCTATACCACTCTAGTGCTGTAGATGACATGAACCCCTATACCACTCTAGTGTTGTAGAGGACATGAACCCCTATACCACTCTAGTGTTGTAGAGGACATGAACCCCTATACCACTCTAGTGTTGTAGAGGACATGAACCCCTATACCACTCTAGTGTTGTAGAGGACATGAACCCCTATACCACACTAGTGTTGTAGAGGACATGAACCCCTATACCACTCTAGTGTTGTAGAGGACATGAACCCCTATACCACTCTAGTGTTGTAGAGGACATGAACCCCTATACCACACTAGTGTTGTAGAGGACATGAACCCCTATACCACTCTAGTGCTGTAGAGGACATGAACCCCTATACCACTCTAGTGTTGTAGAGGACATGAACCCCTATACCACTCTAGTGTTGTAGATGACATGAACCCCTATACCACTCTAGTGTTGTAGAGGACATGAACCCCTATACCACTCTAGTGTTGTAGAGGACATGAACCCCTATACCACTCTAGTGTTGTGGAGGACATGAACCCCTATACCACTCTAGTGTTGTAGAGGACATGAACCCCTATACCACTCTAGTGTTGTGGAGGACATGAACCCCTATACCACTCTAGTATTGTAGAGGAGATATCCTGGATGAGTCATGCTATGGAGTGGTCTACAGTGCATTTGGAAAGTATTCAGACCCCTTCACTTTTTCCACATTTTGTTACGTTACAGCCTTATTCAAAAATGTATTAAATACATGTTTTTCCTCATCAATCTACACACACTATCCCATAATGCCAATGCGAAAACAGTTTATTAGAAATTTTTGCAAATGTATTAACAATAAAAAAAACAATAGCTTATTTACATAAGTATTCAGACCCTTTGCTATGAGACTCGAAATTGAGCTCAGGTGCATCCTGTTTCCATTGATCATCCTTGAGATGTTTCTACAACTTGATTGGAGTCCACCTGTGGTAAATTCAAATGATTGGACGTGATTTGGAAAAGCACACACCTGTCTATATAAGGTCCCACAGTTGACAGTGCATGTCAGAGCAAAAACCAAGCCATGAGGTTGAAGGAATTGTCTGGCGAGCTCCGAGGCAGTATTGTGTCGAGGCACAGATCTGGGGAAGGGTACCAAAACATTTCTGCAGCATTGAAGGTCCCCAAGAACACAGTGGCCTCCATCATTCTTAAATGGAAGAAGTTTGGAACCACCAAGACTCGTCCTAGAGCTGGCCGCCTGGCCAAACTGAGCAATCGGGGGAGAAGGGCCAAGAACCCGATGGTCCCTCTGTCAGAGCTCCAGAGTTCCTCTGTGGCAATGGGAGAACCTTCCAGAAGGACAACCATCTCTGCAGCACTCCACCAATCAGGCCTTTATGGTAGAGTGGCCAGACGGAAGCCACTCCTCAGTAAAAGGCACATGACAGCTCGCTTGGAGTTTGCCAAAAGGCACCTAAAGACTCTCAGACCATGAGAAACAAGATTCTCTGGTCTGATGAAACCAAGATTGAACTCTTTGGCCTGAATGCCAAGCGTCACATCTGGAGGAAACCTGGTACCATCCCTACGGTGAAGCATGGTGGTGGCAGCATCATGCTGTGAGGATGTTTTTCAGCGGCAGGGACTGAGAGACTAGTCAGGATCGAGGGAAAGATTAACAGAGCAAAGTACAGAGCGATCCTTGATGAAAACCTGCTCCAGAGCACTCAGTACCTCAGACTAGGGCGAAGGTTCACCTTTCAACAGGACAACGTCCCTAAGCACACAGCCAAGACAATGCAGGAGTTGCTTCGGGACAAGTCTCTGATTGTCTTTGAGTGGCCCAGCCAGAGCCCGGACTTGAACCTGATCTAACATCTCTGGAGAGACCTGAAAATAGCTGTGCAGCGACCCTCCCCATCCAACCTGACAGAGCTTGAGAGGATCTGCAAGGAAGAATGGGAGAAACTCCCCAAATACAGGTGTGCCAAGTTTGTAGCGTCAACCCAGGAAGACTCGAGGCTGTAATCGCTGCCAAAGGTGCTTCAACACAGTACTGAGTAAAGGGCCAGAATAGTTATGTAAATGTGATATTTCCGTTTTTAATTTTTTATAAATTTGCAAAAATGTCCAAAAACCTGTTTTTCCTTTGTCATTATGGGGTATTGTGTGAAGAAGAAATACATTAATCCATTTTAGAGTAAGGCTATAATGTAACAAAATGTGGAAAAGGTCAAGGGTTCTGAATACTTTCCCAAATCATATATAATTATTTTCTATATTTTCTATGAACACATGTTCTTGTTTATTATTAGGCAACCACTTGACTTCCCAGGTTAAGTGATCTTTAAACGTTCGGTAGGCTTCAGCGGGGGCATTTATAACCTGCTTGAAGCAGGCTGTGTGTGTATGTGTGTAAAGCTAAGTGGGCTGGTAAGGGGGTTGACTGCATTTTGAGGCAGTCATAACATATCCGCTCTAATAACAACTGCTACAACCTTAAGCGTCGTTCACATTACCCATAAGCACTCCGTTACGTTGCGCCAGATGTCATGCATTTCAATGGGGATTTCCACAACTGCGTGGAAACACAACGCCCCTTGCGGTTGAAGGCTCCATTGTGAGACTTTTTCAAACTTTGCATCCTCTTCAGTCCAGCCAGAGTCCGTCGGAAAACAGGAAGTTACCAAACCACAGAAGAAAATGAAAATATTGATGGCTTTATGGGATAGCTAGCAACTTCTAAACAATTACCCATTCCTATAAGTGAGTACTATTTTAATAGTAATGTTACATAATACACATTAGCTGTTAAGACAATTATATTATGACTGTTGCCTCCCATTTTAAGTTTATTGTGATGGTAATGATGTTTGTTTTTTGATGATAATTATTAGGTGGAGGTCGCTAGCTACAATGGTTTCTTCAACCAAGCCTAGCTTTTAGCTAGCTAGCTAGCTGCTCTGCAGTGCAGGCTAGCTTGACTTGCTATAAAGTTAGAGAAACAAGTTGAGGGAAAAAGTAGCTAAACAAAACATGTTTTAACACTTGAAACAATATATTTATCCTGTCTTAAATAAAAAGGTCATATTTTGCAATCTCCCAAAATAAATGCTATCTCTGACGAGAGACAGGCTCTCCTCCATCTTGCCTTACAAACACTACACTTGACTTGTCCGTTCAGTAGCGGGGCAAGACTCTGTGAAGATGACGTACGGCGTAATGAAATGCGTCACGATGTAAACGGGGCATTAGGGAGGCAGTCATGACATATCCTCTCTCTGAACAACTGCTACAACCTTAGGGAGGCAGTCATTCAAATATAAGTTAAATGTCAAACGAGGGAGCACAACACAACAAATATTGTGCAATGTTGACAAGATGAGTTGAGGCACTGTAAGCACACCTAAGAGACTGTATAGGGTTAGATGGTTAGACATATCTAAAATGACTCAAGTAAAGCAACCATACATAGATTGTTCTAAAAGAAGTGGCTAAAATCTCTCATCTCTGAAAACAAGCGGACATCGTCTCCAGTCCAGGCGGTGAGCTGATCAGCAGTGGCTCTGTAATCGTAGTGTCACCCTGCCAGCCCAGCTGTAAGCAGAGCCTCGTAGCTCGACTCATACTGCCTGGGGCTGTGTGTTTGATCTTTTATTACTGTCAGTAGTGAGAGTCCCACTGCTGTTGACCCCTGTGACCCCCTTTTATGACATCATTGCCTGTGTTTGCGTGCAGGAGACCCTGGAGGACATTGATAAGAATGGAGACGGACATGTAGACGAGGATGAGTATATTGGTGAGTTGGGAGAGGCGTGACTGGGGTTGACACTGCATTAGAAGACTAATCTTTCATCAACACGGGTAACGGGTCATTTTTACTCACAAATGGGTTTTCTCTCCTTTTTCAGCGGAATTTCCATTTTTATACACAGGGACAGGTCTACCCTCATTTTAATGCATAACAATTATATATATATATTTTTTTTTTTACAATTTCCTCCACAAACTATACCATGTTCTTATGGTATATTGGGGCTGTTTACAAGGTTTGGTGTTAGTATCCTCCTGGGTCTTATAGTCTAGTCTAGAGGAAGAGTTCCTAACACAAGATGTGGGCTAACCCCATGGGCTCTGTGACCTGATTAGGAATCAAAGGCCTGTTTGTTGGTTGCTCTGGGAAAGCTCTGCTGTGAGGCTGCATGCGACGTCAGTCTGCTGACTTAGTCTGTCTGCCTATTATAGGATTTCACTGTTCATTTTTGGTAGCGTTTTTATAGGAATGTCCGCTTAGAAACTGCTTGGAAACATTACTTAGCTAGCTTGTTAACCATTAGTTATATAGCGTTTTGATTACGTTACAGGTCCTTATAGTAAATGGTTTATACAGGGAATGCAAATGAGCACATGAACAAACAATGATTTACTAAAAATGTACTAATGGTTAACAAACTATTTAGTTATGGTTTGTAAGCAGACTTTCAAACAAAGAGTTTGCTTTTTGACCTTCTTTGAGTATGTCATCTAATCACATATATTCCTGTGTCATTGCAGCGGACATGTTTTCCCATGAGGAGGGGGGCCCAGAACCAGACTGGGTCAGGACGGAGCGGGACCAGTTCTCTGACTTCCGGGACCTGAACAAGGACGGCAAAATGGACGTGGAGGAGATCCGCCACTGGATCCTGCCCCAGGACTACGACCACGCAATGGCAGAGGCCCGACACCTGGTTTACGAGTCAGACCAGGACAAGGTACTGATCCTGTAACCTAGTTTACGAGTCAGACCAGGACAAGGTACTGATCCTATAACCTAGTTTACGAGTCAGACCAGGACAAGGTACTGATCCTATAACCTAGTCTACAAGTCAGACCAGAACAAGGTACTGATCCTATTACCTGGTCTACAATTCAGACCAGGACAAGGTACTGATCCTATTACCTGGTCTACAAGTCAGACCAGGACAAGGTACTGATCCTATAACCTGGTCTATGAGTCAGACCAAGACAAGGTACTGATCCTATAACCTGGTCTACGAGTCAGACCAAGACAAGGTACTGATCCTGTAACCTGGTCTACAAGTCAGACCAAGACAAGGTACTGATCCTGTAACCTGGTCTACAAGTCAGACCAAGACAAGGTACTGATCCTGTAACCTGGTCTACAAGTCAGACCAAGACAAGGTACTGATCCTGTAACCTGGTCTACAAGTCAGACCAAGACAAGGTACTGATCCTGTAACCTGGTCTACAAGTCAGACCAAGACAAGATACTGATCCTATAACCTGGTCTACAAGTCAGACCAAGACAAGGTACTGATCCTATAACCTGGTATACAAGTCAGACCAAGACAAGATACTGATCCTATATGATTCCCAACGATTGCTTGTTTAAGTTTTCACTCCTATTTACCAGTTTTATGGCTGGTAATATTATGTAGGATAAAGATCTTGAGTTTGAATTTCAAGTGTTAGTCCTTAGTAGTAGGATATCTTATATACTCTATACAGTGGGGGAAAAAATTTATTTAGTCAGCCACCAATTGTGCAAGTTCTCCCACTTAAAAAGATGAGAGAGGCCTGTAATTTTCATCATAGGTACACGTCAACTATGACAGACAAAATGAGATTTTTTTTCTCCAGAAAATCACATTGTAGGATTTGTAATGAATTTATTTGCAAATTATGGTGGAAAATAAGTATTTGGTCAATAACAAAAGTTTCTTAATACTTAGTTATATACCTTTTGTTGGCAATGACACAGGTCAAACGTTTTCTGTAAGTCTTCACAAGGTTTTCACACACTGTTGCTGGTATTTTGGCCCATTCCTCCATGCAGATCTCCTCTAGAGCAGTGATGTTTTGGGGCTGTCGCTGGGCAACACGGACTTTCAACTCCCTCCAAAGATTTTCTATGGGGTTGAGATCTGGAGACTGGCTAGGCCACTCCAGGACCTTGAAATGCTTCTTACGAAGCCACTCCTTCGTTGCCCGGGCGGTGTGGTTTGGGATCATTGTCATGCTGAAAGACCCAGCCACATTTCATCTTCAATGCCCTTGCTGATGGAAGGAGGTTTTCACTCAAAATCTCACGATACATGGCCCCATTCATTCTTTCCTTTACACGGATCAGTCGTCCTGGTCCCTTTGCAGAAAAACAGCCCCAAAGCATGATGTTTCCACCCCCATGCTTCACAGTAGGTATGGTGTTCTTTGGATGCAACTCAGCATTCTTGTCCGCCAAACACGACGAGTTGAGTTTTTACCAAAACGTTCTATTTTGGTTTCATCTGACCATATGACATTCTCCCAATCCTCTTCTGGATCATCCAAATGCACTCTAGCAAACTTCAGACGGGCCTGGACATGTACTGGCTTAAGCAGGGGGACACGTCTGGCAGCGTAGTGTGTTACTCATGGTAGGCTTTGTTACTTTGGTCCCAGCTCTCTGCAAGTCATTCACTAGGTCCCCCCGTGTGGTTCTGGGATTTTTGCTCACCGTTCTTGTGATCATTTTGACCCCACGGGGTAAGATCTTGCATGGAGCCCCAGATCGAGGGAGATTATCAGTGGTCTTGTATGTCTTCCATTTCCTAATAATTGCTCCCACAGTTGATTTCTTCAAACCAAGCTGCTTACCTATTGCAGATTCAGTCTTCCCAGCCTGGTGCAGGTCTACAATTTTGTTTCTGGTGTCTTTTGACAGCTCTTTGGTCTTGGCCATAGTGGAGTTTGGAGTGTGACTGTTTGAGGTTGTGGACAGGTGTCTTTTATACTGATAACAAGTTCAAACAGGTGCCATTAATACAGGTAACGAGTGGAGGACAGAGGAGCCTCTTAAAGAAGAAGTTACAGGTCTGTGAGAGCCAGAAATCTTGCTTGTTTGTAGGTGACCAAATACTTATTTTCCACCATAATTTGCAAATAAATTCATTAAAAATCCTACAATGTGATTTTCTGGAAAAATAATTCTCAATTTGTCTGTCATAGTTGACGTGTACTTATGATGAAAATTACAGGCCTCTCTCATCTTTTTAAGTGGGAGAACTTGCACAATTGGTGGCTGACTAAATACTTTTTTTTCCCACTGTATGTAAACTTGACCGGTTTCTCTCTCCTCAGGACACAATGCTGACCAAGGAGGAGATCCTGGAGAACTGGAACATGTTTGTAGGAAGTCAGGCCACCAACTATGGAGAAGACCTGACCAAGAACCACGACGAACTCTGAGCATAATTTAGTGTAGGTGTGTGTTTGTGGCAGGGCGGTTGGACCTCAACTGAGCATCGTCAACCTCGACCACCAACTTGTCTGGTCCTCAGCCTTATCCTGCTGAATGGGACAGATGTAGACCCAACACTGCATTAACCCCCGAGGGGAGGGTCCAAGGAATGGTCTGTTCTTACCACTGACGGTCGAGGTCCTCCTGAGCGGCTGGACAGGGTTTGGTCCTGTTTCTGACATTTAGGAACAGATATTGACCACACCGAACCTCTGTGCGACTGCGTTGACAGTGCTTATCGGCCAGACACCCATAACCTGGTCTACAAGTCCCCTACCACAGATCTATCCATCTGGTCTACAGCAACAGGACAGTTGATCAACTGAATCCGTATATAACCTGGTCACAGTCGCGAAGTAATCTATACCGGTTACAGTCGACCAGACAGGTACTATCCAAACTGGTTACAAGTCGACAAGACAGGTACTGATCCTATAACCTAGTCTACGAGTCACAGAGTACTCCTGGTCTACAGTCGACCAAGTGATCACTATCCGTCGACAAACAAGGTATGATCCTATACCTGGTCTACAAGTCAGACCAAGACAAGGTACTGATCCTATAACCTAGTCTACGAGTCAGACCAAGACAAGGTACTGATCATATAACCTGGTCTACAAGTCAGACCAGGACAAGGTACTGATTCTATAACCTAGTCTACGAGTCAGACCAAGACAAGGTACTGATCCTATAACCTGGTCTACAAGTCAGACCAAGACAAGGTACTGATCCTATAACCTAGTCTACGAGTCAGACCAAGACAAGGTACTGATCCTATAACCTGGTCTACAAGTCAGACCAAGACAAGGTACTGATCATATAACCTGGTCTACAAGTCAGACCAGGACAAGGTACTGATCCTATAACCTGGTCTACGAGTCAGACCAAGACAAGATACTGATCCTATAACCTGGTCTACAAGTCAGACCAAGACAAGGTACTGATCCTATAACCTAGTCTACGAGTCAGACCAAGACAAGGTACTGATCCTATAACCTGGTCTACAAGTCAGACCAAGACAAGGTACTGATCCTATAACCTAGTCTACGAGTCAGACCAAGACAAGGTACTGATCATATAACCTAGTCTACGAGTCAGACCAAGACAAGGTACTGATCATATAACCTGGTCTACAAGTCAGACCAAGACAAGGTACTGATCCTATAACCTGGTCTACAAGTCAGACCAAGACAAGGTACTGATCCTATAACCTAGTTTACGAGTCAGACCAGGACAAGGTACTGATCCTATAACCTAGTCTACAAGTCAGACCAGGACAAGGTACAGATCCTATAACCTAGTCTACGAGTCAGACAAAGACAAGGTACTGATCCTATAACCTAGTCTGCGAGTCAGACCAGGACAAGGTACTGATCCTATAACCTAGTCTGCGAGTCAGACCAGGACAAGGTACTGATCCTATAACCTGGTCTACAAGTCAGACCAAGACAAGGTACTGATCCTATAACCTGGTCTACAAGTCAGACCAAGGCAAGATACTGATCCTATATGATTCCCAACGATTGCTTGTTTAAGTTTTCACTCCTATTTACCAGTTTTATGGCTGGTAATATTATGTAGGATAAAGATCTTGAGTTTGAATTTCAAGTGTTATTCCTTAGTAGTAGGATATCTTATATACTCTATATGTAAACTTGACCAGTTTCTCTCTCCTCAGGACACAATGCTGACCAAGGAGGAGATCCTGGAGAACTGGAACATGTTTGTAGGAAGTCAGGCCACCAACTATGGAGAAGACCTGACCAAGAACCACGACGAACTCTGAGCATAATTTAGTGTAGGTGTGTATTTGTGGCAGGGCGGTTGGACCTCAACTGAGCATCGTCAACCTCGACCACCAACTTGTCTGGTCCTCAGCCTTATCCTGCTGAATGGGACAGATGTAGACCCAACACTGCATTAACCCCCGAGGGGAGAGTCCAAGGCATGGTCTGTTCTTACCACTGACGGTCGAGGTCCTCCTGAGCGGCTGGACAGGGTTTGGTCCTGTTTCTGACATTTAGGAACAGATATTGACCACACCGAACCTCTGTGCGACTGCCGTTGACAGTGCTTATCGGCCAGACACCCATCTGGCTTAGCTGCCTTTTTAGATATATTTAGAGGTAGCCATCATCAAATAACCATCTTTGACCGTTTGATAATTTCCCTTATATTGTATTTTCTTTAAACCTTACATGTCTTAGCAGAGATGAGAACGTAGGGTTGATCGTCAGGAATATTTTATTTGATTGTGGTTTGAATGTGAAAACAAAGCACAACCTAGAATACTAACTCTAATTGTATTTATTTAGTTAACTTGAGGAGGCGAAGAAGCCTGGGAGGTATAATAGTTAGAGGTCAGTGGGTGTTTATAGCGTTTATGAAGGCTGCCTATTTTTGGAACTTGTCAGATATCACTACACTCTTTCTGTTTTTATACAGTGGACACAGATGTTGTTTTTGTTTGTTTTGCTGGCCAGTAAATACTATTTTACAAATTACATTTTTTGAAGTGCTCTTGGATTTGTGAGCTTCCTCTTGTAAAATGTTTTATGAACTCTTACTAACACCCATCTTAATGTCATGCTCTTTGCACGCATTTGTTTTCCAATACAGTCTGTGAAAACATTCATTTTATTCATATTTTATTCACTTTTGCTTTGTTCGCTTGTTTATTTTTATACACTTAAGGCCTGCATGTGTCAAAATTGAATATGAGTTTCATGCAAAATAACCAGGCTATTGTCGTGATGAAAATGTAAGTTTAGCCTTTTCATTGTTGTGGAAATGGGAGTTTTGCAGTGATGTAAAATGACTTGAAACGCAGGAGAATAGGGGTTGCAGAGTACTGTATGCATGTCCTCCGTTACCTCAAAGCTGCTTCTCATATTGACACTATTGTTCACGTTGTAAGATAGGACTTCCTGTTATATCACTTCCTCTTGTACCATGCCAAATGTACTCCCTTGTGTATATTAATGTTTTTGAAAAAGAAACACATTTTCCCATTCTTGTCTCCAGTTTGTAATTCTGTGATGACCCACATATTTTTCTATGTACCTTTTCTTTTTCCGCATAGGAAGTTAAGCAAAGGTTTTTCTGCTGTTACAAGTTGGTTTATATTGGTCTCTGCTAAGCTCCGTTGTAGGATTGGCACCTCTTGTTTGAATCTAGGGCTTGGGAAAGGGTTCAGTCATGAACAAGGTCTGGCAGAGAGCTGGAGAGATTGGGTATCATTTGAAGCAGGACAGACAGACACAAACACCAATTTAAACACCTTTCACATCACCCAGACACACATTAGGCTTTTAGTTTTTACCCCTTCTCTTTGTCTGTCTCTCTCTCTGGCTCTCTCTTTCTCTCTCTCTCTGGCTCTCTCTTTCTCTCTCTCTCGTGTATAAACACCACTAGTTGTTACCCTCACTCTCACGCTGCTTTCTTTCTCTCTCTCTGGCTCTTTCTCTCTCTCTCTCTCTCGTGTATAAACACCACTAGCTGTTACCCTCACTCTCACGCTGCTTTCTTTCTCCTCTCGTTCTTAGTCTTGCTCTCACGCTTTCTCTCTGACACAGGCTAGCACTCAGCACAGCTGTGGATCAGTGCTTAATAAGTCATTGTGTTATTGTCTTGGCTCACTCAAACAGCCTGTAGTTTCCCACCGCTACAGGTACAGTACTGGAGGTCTGTTAAGACCCCCTAACCTGTAGCTACAGGTGGACGTGTTCAATTACAATCCTTGTGTGTGAGACCGACCAGCTTACTGGCTGCTACTGCTTGGCTACAGGCCAAACTGTCCACAGGGCCACTGACTTGCTAATTGGTTTTCCACTACAGGTCGCTGAAGTGTGTGTGTGTGTGTTTATATACACACTAGTACCAGTGTGCTTGCCGGTTCATTGGCATGCCTCCACTAATGTTTGTACATCTGTCTATTTGACTGAGTGAGTGTTAAAACACGAGGCATGAGGGGATGCTGTTGACGCTGTCACTGACTAATTGAAACACACACACCCTCACAGTGTTAGCAGGGATAGGGTGAATCTGACTACAGTCGCTCCTGGCTGTTCCAGTGGAACTCTCCAGTGTAACTGAGAAAGCCACCCAGCATGGTCTGTCCCCTCTGTCCTCTCATGTGGAACATACGGGTGGATATATGTGTGTCAGTAAGGATGACAAGTGGAGCAGGACCAATGTGATGAAGCTCATTAGGAACTACAGACGGCTGTGTACTGTGTGTGTTAGGCTGTCATTCTGTTTTAGGAGAGGGCCTTGTTACACATTCTATGGAACACCATAGAATAAGAAGTCATCTTGTACGCTAGCATATTTTACCAGGCACTCTGGAATGGGGATAAGGCACAATGTCTTGAGGTGGTTTAATATTGTTGTAGCTAGGTGTCTCAAGGTGGCGGTTTAGTTTAATATTGTGGTAGCTAGGTGTCTCAAGGTGGCGGTTTAGTTTAATATTGTGGTAGCTAGGTGTCTCAAGGTGGCGGTTTAGTTTAATATTGTGGTAGCTAGGTCTCTCGAGGTGGCGGTTTAGTTTAATATTGTGGTAGCTAGGTGTCTCAAGGTGGCGGTTTAGTTTAATATTGTGGTAGCTACAGTGGGGGAAAAAGTATTTGATCCCCTGCTGATTTTGTACATTTGCCCACTGACAAAGAAATTATCAGTCTATAATTTTAATGGTAGGTTTATTTGAACAGTGAGAGACAGAATAACAACAACAAAATCCAGAAAAACGCATGTAAAAAATGTTAGAAATTGATTTGCATTTTAATGAGGGAAATAAGTATTTGACCCCCTCTCAATCAGAAAGATTTCTGTCTCCCAGGTGTCTTTTATACAGGTAACGAGCTGAGATTAGGAGCACACTCTTAAAGGGAGTGCTCCTAATCTCAGTTTGTGACCTGTATAAAAGACACCTGTCCACAGAAGCAATCAATCAATCAGATTCCAAACTCTCCACCATGGCCAAGACCAAAGAGCTCTCCATCGAGATGTTAGCTATTAAAATCAGATCCAACAATATCAGGGGATTAGAAATCCAGGGCTTAAAAACAAAGGTGTCATTGTACGCTGATGATTCATGTTTTCTTTTAAATCCACAACTAGAATCACTCCACAGCCTCAGAGGATCTAGATACATTTTCTAACCTCTCTGGATTACAACCAAATTGGATTACGTATTGGATCAATAAAAAATACAATTTTTACATTGCCATGTAGTTTACCAATAAAATGGTGATGTGGATATACTCGGAATACATATCCCAAAGGAAATAAATGATCTCACTTCAATAAATTATAATAGAAAGTTAGCAAAAATAGATAAGATCTTGCTACCATGGAAAGGTGGGTGCCTGTCAATTTGTGGAAAAAAGAACCCTGATTAACTCTTTAGTATTATCCCAGTTTACCTATTTGCTTATGGTCTTGCCTACGCCTAGCGAACAGTTTTTTAAATTATATGAGAAAAAAATATTCCATTTTATTTGGAACAGCAAGCCAGACAAAATTAAACGGGCCTATTTATATAATTAATATGAATTCGGAGGACAGAAATGATTAAATATTAAAGCATTAGACCTATCACTAAAAGCTTCAGTCATACAAAAGTTATACTTAAATCCGATCTGGTTCTCTAGCAAATTAGTAAAATTGTCTCACCCAATGTTCAAGAATGGCCTTTTTCCCTTTATTCAGATTGCAACCACTCACTTTCAGTTATTTGAAAAGGAAATAATCTCCCAGATATCACTATTTCTAAAACAAGCCATAGAAAGTTGGTTGCAATTTCAATTTAATCCTCCAGAAACGACAGAACAAATAATGCAACAAATATTGTGGTTAAACTCAAATATACTAATTGACCCAAAAACTGTTTTTATTGACAAAATGTTTTAAAAAGGTAAGATCTTTGTAAATGATATCATCGGTAGGACTGGTGGAGTTATGTCGCACATGCAGCTAACAAAAACATGGAAGAGGAATGTGGAAGGAGGAGAAAGTAAGGAACTTGTCTGTCGGCCTTGCATTAAAGAACATAATTGGTTAAGGAAAACTGTGATAAATAAAAAAGTATATCAGTTTCATTTAAGGACCAAAGGATTGACAGCCGTCCCATATAGATTGCAAAATAGTTGGGAAGAGATTTTTGACGTACCGATCCCATGGCATAGTGTTTATGAACTGATACGCAAAAGACACCGGATTCAAAACTTAGAATCTTTCAATTTACATGATTATATAAAATTATTGCTACCAATAGAATGTTATTTATGTGGGGGATACAATCTTCCCAGCTCTGCAGATTTTGCTGCGAAGATACAGAATCATTAGATCATTTGTTTTGGTACTGTCCATTTGTAGCTTGTTTTTGGACACAGGTCCAGGAATGGCTAAAGGATTGCAATATTTACCTGGAGCTAACCCTGCAGATAGCACTACTAGGTGATCTGAAAAGTCATAGTCAATCGATCAATAACATAATAATACTATTAGCAAAAATGTTTATTTTCAATTCACAATCTGTAGAAACAATGAGAATAGAAAGGTTCAGAACTTTTGTAAGACATCACAGTACAGTTGAAATATATATGGCAAATAGAAATCCTATATGGATGGTGTTAAAAGATAGATGGGAGGTGTTGAATGGAATTGAAGGATGGGACTAATAACAACTAACAACAAACAATAACAAGATAACTAATAATGTAAGCATACTGTGTCCATAATAAGTGTATGGGTTGTAGGTTGGGAGCTTTTGTGAAGGAGCACAGTTAGAAAGATATGGCATATAGAAGCAAACCGGATGGACACCATGAAAATGATCGGAGAGGTTGAGAGTAGAAGAAGTTCAGGAGAAAGAACAAACAAAATGTAATTATTGTAAAATTGACTGTGTCCATAAAATGTAGATAGTGGGTATGGGCTGGAAGTAGAGGCCTAGGTGTTGTTGTTGTTCACTTGTTTACTCCAAGTGGGGAAAGGGTGGCGGGGTTGGAAAGTAATAAAGGGGAATATATAAATATTTTTAAAGGATATGTATGTGTATGTACAGTGGGGAGAACAAGTATTTGAAACACTGCCGACTTTGCAGGTTTTCCTACTTACAAAGCATGTAGAGGTCTGTCATTTTTATCATAGGTACACTTCAACTGTGAGAGACGGAATCTAAAACAAAAATCCAGAAAATCACATTGTATGATTTTTAAGTAATTAATTTGCATTTTATTGCATGACATAAGTATTTGATACATCAGAAAAGCAGAACTTAATATTTGGTACAGAAACCTTTGTTTGCAATTACAGAGATCATACGTTTCCTGTAGGTCTTGACCAGGTTTGCACACACTGCAGCAGGGATTTTGGCCCACTCCTCCATACAGACCTTCTCCAGATCCTTCAGGTTTCGGGGCTGTCGCTGGGCAATACGGACTTTCAGCTCCCTCCAAAGATTTTCTATTGGGTTCAGGTCTGGAGACTGGCTAGGCCACTCCAGGACCTTGAGATGCTTCTTACGGAGCCACTCCTTAGTTGCCCTGGCTGTGTGTTTCGGGTCGTTGTCATGCTGGAAGACCCAGCCACGACCCATCTTCAATGCTCTTACTGAGGGAAGGAGGTTGTTGGCCAAGATCTCGCGATACATGGCCCCATCCATCCTCCCCTCAATACGGTGCAGTCGTCCGGTCCCCTTTGCAGAAAAGCATCCCCAAAGAATGATGTTTCCAACTCCATGCTTCATGGTTGGGATGGTGTTCTTGGGGTTGTACTCATCCTTCTTCTTCCTCCAAACACAGCGAGTGGAGTTTAGACCAAAAAGCTCTATTTTTGTCTCATCAGACCACATGACCTTCTCCCATTCCTCCTCTGGATCATCCAGATGGTCATTGGCAAACTTCAGACGGGCCTGGACATGCGCTGGCTTGAGCAGGGGGACCTTGCGTGCGCTGCAGGATTTTAATCCATGATGGCGTAGTTGCTAATGGTTTTCTTTGAGACTGTG